GGCTAGGTATGCTGATCTGATATGTATGCTGATCTGACGGACTAAGTATGCTGATCTGACGGACTAAGTATGCTGATCTGATATGTATGCTGATCTGACGGACTAAGCATGCTGATCTGACGGGCTAGGTATGCTGATCTGACGGGCTAGGTATGCTGATCTGACGGACTAAGTATGCTGATCTGATCAGATGTCATACCTAGCCCGTCATACCTAGCCTGTCAGATCCTCATACTTAGCCCGTCAGATCAGCATATGCTTAACCGTTGTATGACAATCTGACAGGTTAGCTGCCACGTCAGGGTGTGAAGTACCGAACACAGAAATCGAGGCTTTCTGTGTTCAAAGCAGTTCGCTACTAAATTCTGTTTACCTCTGACTAAAACTTTTTGTTTATTACATCACCCATAAATAAACAAAAGTACTTTACTTTCGTTGTGGTTTTCTGGTAAGTTTGTGTGTTTACCTTCAACTACAACCTTTTGACGGGGTATGCTAATCTGACACCTATACTGTCAGACTAGCATACCCCGTACGGAAATTTAAAGTCATGCGCATGCGTATTATTGACTATGGGTATGCTGGTCTGACGGGGTATTTAAGGGGCCCTTAAACCACTCTGGCTCATCGTTTTGTCTTTTATGTGTTACAGAGGACCCGTCCCCCCCCCCGCCGGCCTGTCCCCCGTCCTGGTTTTCCTGTGGTGGAGGGAGATGCATCGAGGAGAGAAAAGTCTGTGACTTCACCCCACACTGTCCCCACGGAGAGGACGAGCTGAGCTGCCGTAAGAATCTCTAAAACTTTACTAGAACAATGTTTTTAACCCCTCAAATACTCCAGTGTTTTTCAACCTTTTTTGAGCCAAGGTACAGTTTTTCATTGAAAAAATCATGAGGCACACCGACCAAAAATGTCAAACAAATCTGTAGCCGCCTATAGTAACACTATAGTTATTCTTATCTTTTCTTAAGTGTCTTGAATAGGAATCAAATAAACACAAAAATGTATTTTAGTTTTACGCATGCGCGAACATGGTTGCGCATGCGTATTACTGCGAACACTTGGAGAAGCCGTCAGATCGCCATACCTTTCGAAAAACACCAAATCCGAATACCTGTACATACAGTTGTGGTCAAAAGTGTACGTACACTTGTAAAAAATCATAATGTTATGGCTGTCTTGAGTCTTCAATAAGTTCTACAACTCTTATTTTTCTATGATAGAGTGATCGGAACACATACATGTTTGTCACAAAAAACAGTCATAAAGTTTGGTTCTTTCATAAATTTATTATGGGTCTGCTGAAAATTTCACCAAATCTGCTGGGTCAAAAATATACATACAGCAACAAAATATGTCAATTTTGGTGATGTAGCGAGTTGTGTCAATCAAATTAGCTTCATGTCATGGCCTCTTCACTTCTTCTAAGTGATTCTGATTGACTACAGCTGTTGACTTCTCATGAGCCCATTTAAATAGGGCTCATTTGACCCAGTGATTAGACTCAGCTACAAAAGCTACAATGGGAAAGTCAAAGGAACTCAGTGTGGATCTGAAAAAGCGAATTATTGACTTGAACAAGTCAGGGAAGTCACTTGGAGCCATTTCAAAGCAGCTACAGGTCCCAAGAGCAACTGTGCAGACAATTATACGCAAGTATAAAGTGCATGGAACAGTTGTGTCACTGCCACGATCAGGAAGAAAACGCAAGCTATCACATGCTGCCGAGAGGAGATTGGTCAGGATGGTCAAGAGTCAACCAAGAATCACCAAGAAGCAGGTCTGCAAGGATTTGGAAGCTGATGGAACACAGGTGTCTGTCTCCACAGTCAAGCGTGTTTTACATCGCCATGGACTGAGAGGCTGCCGTGCAAGAAAGAAGCCCTTGCTCCAGAAAAGGCACCTCAAGACTCGGCTGAAGTTTGCTGCTGATCACATGGACAAAGATAAAACCTTCTGGAGGAAAGGTCTCTGGTCAGACGAAACAAAAATTGAGCTGTTTGGCCACAACACCCAGCAATATGTTTGGAGGAGAAAAGGTGAGGCCTTTAATCCCAGGAACACCATGCCTACTGTCAAGCATGGTGGTGGTAGTATTATGCTCTGGGGATGTTTTGCTGCCAGTGGAACTGGTTCTTTGCAGAAAGTAAATGGGATAATGAAGAAGGAGGATTACCTCCAAATTCTGCAGGAAAACTTAAAACCATCAGCCCGAAGGTTGGGTCTTGGGCGCAGTTGGGTGTTCCAACAAGACAATGACCCAAAACACACATCAAAAGTGGTAAAGGAATGGCTAAACCAGGCTAGAATTAAGGTTTTAGAATGGCCTTCCCAAAGTCCTGACTTAAACCCCATTGAGAACATGTGGACAGTGCTAAAGAAACAGGTTCATGCAAGAAAACCATCACATTTAGCTGAACTGCACCAATTCTGTCAAGAAGAGTGGTCAAACATTCGACCTGAAGCTTGCCAGGACCTTGTGGATGGCTACCAAAAGCGCCTAGTTGCCGTGAAAATGGCCAAGGGACATGTAACCAAATACTAATGTTGCTGTATGTATATTTTTGACCCAGCAGATTTGGTGACATTTTCAGCAGACCCATAATAAATTTATGAAAGAACCAAACTTTATGACTGTTTTTTGTGACAAACATGTATGTGTTCCGATCACTCTATCACAGAAAAATAAGAGTTGTAGAACTTATTGAAGACTCAAGACAGCCATAACATTATGATTTTTTACAAGTGTATGTACACTTTTGACCACAACTGTACATTTTGAAATGGCAAATTAATCTTATCAAAGTGTATGCTGTTCTGACGGGCTAGGTATGCCTATCTGACGGGCTAAGTATGCTGATCTGACGGGCTAGGTATGCTGATCTGACGGGCTAGGTATGCTGATCTGACGGGCTAGGTATGCCTATCTGACGGGCTAAGTATGCTGATCTGACGGGCTAGGTATGCTGATCTGACGGGCTAGGTATGCTGATCTGACGGGCTAATCAGTAATTTACATAGATCATGTGATAGCATACAATGCTAAAGTGAGTAATTACAGCCAAATTCTAACAACACATTAAAACATTTGACTTTCTACTGTTTCTTCTGCTTGTTGAGCATGTTTAGAGACACAGACATGGGTAATGATCATTGAACTGTATCCACCAGGTGTGTTTCACACTCTGTTAGTTCACAATGTGACAGATAACATTTATAATTTTCTTGGTTTATGGTACAATATATCCTTAATAAAGTGGAGCGTGCAGATGTTGCTTTAAATCAATGCCGCTGGTCTCAGTGACTGAAAGATTAAATGAGAAATTATGCAAAGTCTGTTCTTTTTTCAGCCCGGTCATATCTAAATAACCCTTATGCCTCAGATCCCATTGCCATGGAAACTGCTATGAACCGAAATGGCAGGAAATTGAAGGTGCTTTGTTCCCTTCAGGACAATCTGGCACCGTACCTGCTGAAACTGGCCAGATCACACATATTTAAACAGGATTTTAGCAAAGCTCCACGTTTTAAACCGTTTAACCCTTTAAAGCCTGATCCAAGAATAAAACAAAACAGAAAATTACTTTTTTTTGGCTTGAAGTCTTTATTTGGCCTTTTAACAAAATATGTAAAAAGAAAAAACAGAAGTGGGCGGCACGGTGGTGTGGTGGTTAGCACTGTCGCCTCCCAGCAAGAGGGTTCTGGGTTGGAGTCCCGGGGGAACCAGGACCCTTCTGGGTGGAGTTTGCATGTTCTCCCTGTGTCTGCGTGGGTTCTCTCCGGGTTCTCCGGCTTCCTCCCACAGTCCAAAAACCTGCATGTTAGGCTGATTGGAGACTGGGGAAATTGCCCTTAGGAGTGAATGTGAGTGTGAGTGGTTGTTTGTCCTTGTGTGTCTCTGTGTGTGGCCCTGCGATGGACTGGCGGACTGTCCAGGGTGTACCCTGCCTCTCGCCCGTTGACCACTGGGATAGGCTCCAGTTCCCCCCGCGACCCCATGAGGGAATGAGCGGTATTGATAATGGATGGATGGATGGAAAAAACAGAAGTACATTTTTGATATTAATAATTTATTACTATACGTTTCAGCTACAGCAACTACTCAAAATTCAGGAAATTTGTCCAACAGCGGAAAAGAGGGTCGTGTTTTGTATCTCAGAATAGGATAGAAAATGATTACAGCTGTGACCTGATAGACCACGTCTTATTTTTACACTATTTCTTTACTGAAATCGATTAAAACAAATCAAATTGGCTGAGACAACTCTCCAATATAACTTTCCCATTATTGAGCCATTTGAGCTGTTGCAAAGCAAAGTGTTAACCCTTTAAAGCCTGATCCAAGAATAAAACAAAACAGAAAATTACTTTTTTTTGTGTGAATTCCTTATTTGGCCTTTTAACAAAATATGTAAAAAGAAAAAACAGAAATACATTTTTAATATTAATAATTTATTACTATGCGATAAGTCAAGATTATGTTTTGTGTAGTCTTCTGCCCCCTGTTATCAGGTGTATCTGATTGCATAAATTAGGATTTTGAGCAAAGTTTTTACCATTAAATTATGCAAAAGGTTTCAGACGCAAAACATTTCAGAAACAGTATGAATCAGATATGATACATTTGGCATTACAGGGTTAAAGCCTGACCCAAGAAAAATAGGAAGAATATTGAATTTTTTTAGTCTGAAGTCTTTCTTTGGCCCCTCAACAACATATGAAGAAAAAGAAACAGAAATTATTTTGATCAAATTAGCGTATATTAAGTGAAAAATAAATGTATAAATATATTCTATTGGCTGTTATCAAGTGTATCTGATTGTGTAAATTAGGATTTTGAGCAAAGTTTTTACCATTAAATTATGCAAAAGGAGTCAGACGCAAAACATTTCAGAAACCGTATGTATCACATATGATTCATTTGGCATTATAGGGTTAAAACCTGACTCGGGGGAATGCGTGAAGCAGAACATTTTGATGACCATCTCGATTATCCTCTGTTTTTTTCTGGTTCAGCCTCTGGCTGTGACTTTGAGCGGGGCTCCTGCGGCTGGTACGAGTTCACCCACGGCGACGGCTTCGACTGGGTGAGGGGAACGTCTGCAGAGATCCCCCCGGACTATTTCCACCACCCGCCGCTGCCGGACCACTCCACCAACAGCACCCAGGGTACCCCCAAACACAAACGTACCCCCAAACACAAACACAGCACAGCCCTCCATCTGAGGAGATAGAACAGGCTGATGAGGCCTTTTTTTAGAGTTTCTGGGGTGATTACTGGAGAAAAAACGAGAAAAAACGAGAAAAAAATCAGTTTATTTCCATTTTTTTAAAGATAAAAACGAGAGAAAACACAATATTTCCTTGTTTATTTCCATTTTTTTAAAGAAAAGCACTTTGTGAAGAGGCTTTCTCAGAGTTTCTGGGGTGATTACTGGAAAAATAACAAGAAAAAACGAGAAAAAACTCAGTTTATTTCCATTTTTTTAAAGATAAAAACGAGAGAAAACACAATATTTCCTTGTTTATTTCCATTTTTTTAAAGAAAAGCACTTTGTGAAGAGGCTTTCTCAGAGTTTCTGGGGTGATTACTGGAAAAATAACAAGAAAAAACAAGAAAAAACTCAGTTTATTTCCATTTTTTTAAAGATAAAAACGAGAGAAAACACAATATTTCCTTGTTTATTTCCTTTTTTTTTTATAGATAAGCATTTTGTGAAGAGGCTTTTTTAGAATTTCTGGGGTGATTACTGAAAAAAAAACGAGAAAAAAATAGAAAAAACTCAGTTGATTTCCATTTTTTTAAAGATAAAAACGAGAGAAAACACAATATTTCCTTGTTTATTTCCATTTTTTTTTAAAGATAAGCACTTTAAGACTAGGCTTTTTTTTTAGAGTTTCTGGGGTGATTACTGAAAAAATGACAAGAAAAAACGAGAAAAAACACAGTTTTATGCGGGAACCGAAGTCAGAGCTTTATGTAAAAACATAATAGGAGTGAATATTTCCTTTTTTATTTCCATTTTTTTTAAAGATAAGCACTTTGTGAAGAGGCTTTTTCCATAGTTTCTGGGGGGATTACTGAAAAAATAACAAGAAAAAACGAGAAAAAAATCAGTTTTATGTGGGATCCGAAGTCAGAGCTTTATGTAAAAACATAACCGGAGTGAATATTTCCTTTTTTATTTCCATTTTTTAAAGATAAGCACTTTGTGAAGATTTCGCCTGCTCAGCTTTTTAAAAAATAATGTAGAATAAATCAACAGAAACTGAACTAGCTCTGCACTTGGTTATCAGAGATGCAGCAGAATCCTCTCCAGGGTTCAGACACCTGTTTATCATGTCTAGTTAAATGCTAAATGTTCAATGTTAAATCGGCTCTAAAGCTCTACAGAACACAATCTGTTGGTTTTTGAACAAATGTTGAGTAAATGTGGTGAAAACACCGTTCTGGGTTTAGATTTGGAGGCTGTGCAGACGTGTAAAATCCCTCCCTGATGGGAGCTTCTGTTCGTGGATCTAAAAAAGAGTTTCCCTGCTCCAGTACACCTGATTCTAATGAATGGGACTTTAGCAGCTTTCTGCACAGCTGAAAAGTCGTTCCATTTATCAGAATCAGGTGTGATGGAGCAGGGAAACTCAGAAAACATGCAGGCCAGTATGCATTGAGGACCAGGGTTGAGAAATATTGATCTAAACAATGTGCAGAGCAACAGGAGGCAAACTCTGTGATTTGAAAACAACCCATTAAGAAGCTTCAACCAAAGCATTTTCAGGCCAAAGCTCAGTCAGAACAGCAAACTGACCGTTAAACACCAGCTTCATCCCCAAAAAAACCAACATCCTGGCCAGTTAAAGACGTATCTATTGGATAAATGGGGATTTCTGCACAGTCATGTCCAACAGGATGTGAGAAGAAATTAACCACGAGGCTGCACTAAATCAAAGAAATGAGGGCATTGGCTTGAAGTGGCTTTTTAAAAGCATCATATGAAATGAAAAAATAACATGAATCATATGAAAAAAGGCTCATGCAGAACATGTTACTGACACGTTTGTTTCGGACCCGAGAGCCTAATTTAGCATTTCCCACGTATCAATATTTCGAGCGATATCGCTTCGAATCCGCTCTGTATTCGGAAGAAAAGCACGGCCGATGACACGGCGTTACCATGGCAACCTCGGCGGACAGGATACCCACCGAAGCGGATCCCGCCGGGAGTGTGAGGAATAATGGACACGTCTGGCAGGATCAACAACGTGGGAAGATTGCACACGAATCCTTCCACTCGAGGCTTTTTTTTTTAGCAATATCGAGCATCTTTTATGAGAAAACAGCACGTCTGAACAAACCAATTACACACAGAAAACACACAAATCACACGCACTGTATGAGTCAGGGACGTAACTCAGATGCAGAGATTTGAGTTAACAAAAGGTTTTATTAACTCAGGGCGCAAAGAAACAAAGTACAAAACAAAGTAGACAAAAGTATGAGAAAAGTATCAAATAATAATCACTCTTACGAGGCAAAAACAAGACTGTGGACAAAGTATCCAAATAAACTCAAACTAAACAGAGGATGGCAAAAAGCTGCAAAGTTTGAAATCAAAATCACTCTTACGAGGCAGAAACAAGACAAAAAGTATCAAAACTCACTCTAAAATGAGGCATAAACGGGGATCAAGGAGGAAGACAAGGATTGCTATGAGGTTGCTTAGTATGACGAAGATGAGGATGAAGGACCAAAAGACGAAAGACGAAACCCACTGGCAACAAACAAGGAGAGACTCAGACTATTTAAACACAAGGGAAGGGAACCTCAGGTGAACACAATTGGAGATAAGGGAGGACAATCAGACATGTGACACACAGGGGAGACCTGAAACAAGGGGATTTACCTTTCAAAATAAAACAGGAAATGACATGACAACCATGGAGACAGGACAAAAACACCAAAAAAATTCCCTCAGACGTGACACAGGTGATAGATAGATAGATAGATAGATAGATAGATAGATAGATAGATAGATAGATAGATAGATAGATAGATAGATAGATAGATAGATGGATGCTTTATTGATCCCCAAGGGGAAATTTTAGGTCCCAGCAGTTTAAGACATTACACACAGTTCACACAGTATCTTACAACATAACTAGAATACTAAATTAACACATGACAACCATGGAGACAGGACAAAAACACCAGAATATTCCCCCAGACGTGACAGTATGACTGAATCTCATCCCTCGCTGTTCCCTACAGGTCACTTCATGTTTATCCTGAAGAACAGCAGCAGCCTGTACCCCAAAGCGGTTCTCCGGGGACCCTGGTTCCAGCAGGCGGCCTCCGGCTGCACCATGACCTTCTGGTGAGAGCCCCCCCCCCCTCAAAAGGACTGGACACCACTGAGTGCCTATTGGCCAGTTACTTACTAACCCTATAACCCTAACATGAACAGGCCAGGTCCTAATTAATGCAGATAACATTGGAATGTGGTAACAAGGTTTGTGTGTGTGTGTGTTGACCTAATGACATGTGTCTCAAACAACAGAGATAAAAAGAGAATCTGTGGTTACAGCCAGAGAATTTGGCACAAAAGTATAGTTCTAAAAGGGATAAGACAATCAGTAATTAACAAAGATCATGTTATAGCATACTATGCTAAAGTAAGTAATTATAGCCAAATTCCAACAGCCATATTTGTACTCTTGATCTACTCTTGTTTATCTCCGGCTTCCAGCTAAAGAATCCTTTCTAAACTGTTACGAATTGCCTTAATTTTGCCATATAAGTTCAGCCCCCGTTTCCCACCCCAGGCACTACAACTCGGGCATCTCGGTGGGGGCGGCGGACATGTACCTCCGGATCGACGGGGTGAGGAACAGCACGGTGATCTGGACCTCGCTGTACGACCAGGGCCGGCGCTGGAACCGGGTCCGGGTCCAGTTGGGCCGCATCACCCGGCCCTTCCAGATCGCGCTGGCCAAAATCAGCCTGGGCGTGTTCGACGGCGTCTCCGCCCTGGACGACGTGGCCTTCGAGGGCTGCTCGTTGCCCCCGGCGACGGAGGCCTGCCCCGTGCTCACGCACTTCCACTGCGCGCGCAGCCGGGCCTGCGTGGAGCGCCTGAGGGTCTGCGACCTGGTGGACGACTGCGGGGACGGGTCGGACGAGGAGGGGTGCTGTGAGTGGATGAATTAGATCGGGGTTTGAGCCGAAATGACGTGTGAACAAATGGTGAAGCGGCACGGTGGAAAGGTGGTCAGAGGGGTTCCGGGTCGGGGTTCTGGGGTGGCGTTCCAAGTGGAACCAGGACATTTCTGCTACAGGGTTCTGGGTTTGAGTCCTCTTGAGTCCTGGGGGAACCAGGACCAGAGGGTTCTGGGATTGAGTCCCCCGGGGGAACCAGGACCAGAGGGTTCTGGGGTGGAGTCCTGGGGGAACCAGGACCAGAACCTGCACGTTAGGATGTCCTAACATCCTAACGTTAACACTAAACCTGACCCTAACCCTAACCCTGACCCTAACCTTTATGCTAACCATAACCGTAGCCCTAACCCTGACCCTAACCATAACCGTAACCCTGACCGTAACCATAACCATAACCCTAACCCGGACCCTAACCATAACCCTAACCCTAACCCTGATCCTAACCATACCCCTAACCATAGCCCTAACCCTGACCCTAACCCTAACCATAACCCTAACCCTATCCCTGACCCTAACCCTGACCTTAGCCCTAACCATACCCCTGACCCTAACCCTAACCTTCCACCCTTCATAATTGTGAGAAATAAATATTTTTGGGTTAAATATGTTTGGACTTATTGTAAAAACCTATTTAACATCCACTATTCTAACATAATATCATGGATAGAGTTTAATTCAGTGTTTGCAAGATTCATTTCACTATTTTTAAATTAATGTCTATATTGCCATGAAGCAATTAGGATTTTCTTGCCTGGGATCTTCCTATTGGTGACATAATCAAAACGGCCGACTTGGATGTTTGGTATCCATCCTTGGCTTCCTGCAGTCTGGGATGGAGTCCCGGGGGAACCAGGACCTTTCTTCCAGAGGGTTCTGGGTTTGAGTACTTGCTTTTCCTTGTGCTTCGCAGCTCCGGACCTGCAGTGCGACTTTGAGTCGGGTTTCTGCGGGTGGATGCAGGAGGTGGGCGGGGCCGACGCCTTCGACTGGACCCTGACCTCGGGGCCCACGCCCACCCTGAACACGGGCCCCTGGAAGGACCACACGCTGGGCACCCGGCACGGCCACTACCTGTTCGTGGAGTCCTCCCTGCCCCAGGAGTTCCGGGACACGGCCCTGCTCCTGAGCCCCGTGTTCGGACCCACCCTCCGGCCCGGGGAGGGGGAGGGGGAGGGGGAGGACCCCGCCCCCCCCAATGGCCCCCCGCCGCCGATGCGTTTTCCGCTTCCACTACTGCATGTCCGGGCCCCACGTCTTCAGCCTGGCCGTGTACCTGAGGACCACGGCGGCGGGCCGGGGGTCCATGATCTGGGCCGGGTACGGGGACCAGGGGAACCTCTGGCACAGGAAGACCCTCTACCTACACAGCGCTCGGCCCTTTCAGGTACCCCAGTCATGATACCGTAAATGCACTTTACTTTAGTTTGGGTAAAAGCACTTTGAGTGTGAGTCCTGGAGGAACATCACCATGTCCTAATTTTAACCCTTTAAAGCCCGATCCAAGAATAAAACAAAACAGAAAATTACTTTTTTTTGGTTTGAATTACTAATTTGTAATTCAATATCAATGTTACCAAACCCCAACACAGACATGACTCAGACGGGCTCATGGAGAAATGTGTGTTATATTAGTGTGAAGGCAAAAAAAAAAAAGATAAACAGACAGATGATAGAGGGAAGAAAAACAATGAGAAGCCCCAAAAATGGAAAATACTGCACAAGGTTAGATTCATGAAAGATTAAGCGAATATCAATTTTTTTCATTTAAGATGGCTGTTTTGCTTTGGCATTTATTTTCTATTTATTTCTTATCTTATTTGCTTTTAAATTATGTTTCTATTTGTTGCCATGCAGTCTTTTAACCCTTTAAAGCCTGATCCAAGAATAAAACAAAACAGAAAATTACTTTTTTTTTGTTTGAATTCCGTATTTGGCCTTTTAATAAGATATGTAAAAAGAAAGAAACTAAGTAAAATCTTAATATTAATAATTTATTACTATGCGATAAGTCAAGATTATTTTTTGTGTAGTCTTTTTCCCCCTGTTATCAGGTATATCTGATTGTGTACAATAGGATTTTGAACAAAGTTTTTACCATTAAATTATGCAAAAAGTGTCAGACGCAAAACATTTTAGAAACCGTATGTATTAAATATGATACATTTGGCATTATAGAGTTAATTATAGATGTGTGGAATTTTGTGGCAGCCAGTTTGTCCTTTTAACAACTCAGAGTTGACTTTGTCTTGTATTTCCTACTATTCACGTGCACTAACAAAGTAAATCTACTCAAATCAGATCTCATTAGTTTGACCTTTGTGACCAAAAACCAGCTTAATTTCTTATTGCATCTACAGGCAATTATAAGCCGAGACCTTTAAAAGTATTTGTATTAGAGAACTTCAACTTAATCTAGTCCAGTTACTTTTATTCTACACAATTCAAATCCTTTAGATTCTCCAAACAATAAAACAATACATCACAGCTAATGTTAAGTAAAATGCAACAGTGGTGATGCCACTAGGTTTGTCGAATTGTATGAAAGAATGAATAAATTCAAAGAAAAGTCTACACACGCGGATACGTGCGATTAAAAAGACAAGCATTTTTTTCTATCACACCATTACTAACAGATCGTAACATTAAAAAAGTTAAGTGCCTTTCCATTTATTATACCTTTCCTATGAGCAGTTTTTTAAAAAGAGGTTATAATATCAGGAAAAGAGAAAAAAAAGCTCAACCGCCAGCATCCTCTCTAGCCGTTAAACTATGGACTTTATTTCCTCTGTGGTCGTTAGAGACAAAGAGGCAGAGAATCCTTTTGAAAACACACTCCAGCTCCGCCTGAAGAAGATCCATTTAGTAGCTTTGCTGCTCAGCTTCAGTCACTCAAGAAGATGGATGTTCTGTTGTCGTTACTCAGAACAGTTCGTTTACCTTGACAGGCAGTTAAAGACTTTTCCTCCACAGTCACAAAAACACACAAGCTCCGTTTGTCAAGTTTACTGACTGCAGGACAGGAAAAAAAGAAGACGGATTAATTAAAATCTAAAGATTGAGACAATTTCGAAACATTCATCGTACGAAATATGACAGAATCCAACAGCTAATTGTGCCAATTGCTCTTTAACCCATACAAAAGCACAAATGAGCTGCATTACAGCTGAGTGACTCATTATATTAATGACGTGAAAGTGAACTAAGTGGAAAGCAAATTAGTTGAGTTATTCCAGAAACGTTTAACTCACACTGACTTCTTTTGAAAGTATTCAACAAAAAAGTGCTTTAGTTATGCTTTATTCTGCTTCCATAATAGCCTGATTTATGTAGCGACAAGAAAAAAAATCCATAATTTCTGTCATTTCTTGTGTGTTTTCTTTAAAACCTTTCATGTTCAAACGTCTCCTGAAGCCTGTTGATCAAATGATCTGCCCCACATATAAAAACAAACGAAATGACTAAATAAATTAGACGGAGGTCCTAGTTGAGTATGACAGCATCTCTTTGGCACACGTTCTGAGCAAAATGTTCCTTTTTCCTGATGAAATATTTGCTTTACTATCCAAACATTTGGCCGTGACTTGGACGCTAATGGCTAAAGGAGCTGGAGGATTTTCTATTATGTGAGCTTGCATGCGACTACGGCACTTTGATTCATATTGACTGCTGTTTTGTATGAAAAAAACTAGAATTATAAGCTAGAGTTAGACTTGTCAAACACCAGAAAAGTAACGACTTCACATAAAATGTTGGTGCTATTGTTTGTTGATGGAATTACAACCCATAAATCCAAGATGTTTGGATTCGTGTACCTTCTAATGCTAATGCTTTCTGTTGTCAGATATTAATTGAGGGGACAGTTGGAGTCTCACATACCTTCTAATGTGGGTTTATCATGCTTTCTGTTGTCAGATTTTGATTGAGGGGACGGTTGGAGATGATTTCCTGGGAGACATTGCCATTGATGACCTTTCCTTCCTGGACTGTGAAAGACTAGATGGTAAAGTTTAGCATAGTTCCTCTCTAAGGGGAAGTCTCCTTCTGAGAGCTGTGGAGTCTGGATCTGTGATTGGGAGTTTCCTGCTGCCCCCGTGTTCCTGCTCTGTTGCCGTCATAACTTCTACCATCATCATTAGTATTAATATCATTGCCATTTTTCATCTAGTCTATGTGTTGCTGTGTTGGCTGCCTCTCTCTCTCTTGCCCTCTCTTTCCCTCACCCCCAACCGGCCGAGGCAGATGGCCGCCCACCCTGAGCCATGGTTCTGCTCCAGGTTTCTTCCTGTTAAAAATAAGTTTTTCCTTGCCTGTGTCGCCTAGTGCTTGCTCATGGTGGGAATTGTTGGGTTTCTGTAATTATCTTCAGAGTAGGGTCTGACCTTCTCTGTTTGGAAAGCTGTGAGACAACTGTTGTTGTGATGTGGCGCTATACAAATAAAATTGAATTGAATTGAATTCTGAATCGTGTCAGTCTGTAGCTACCGACTCTTGTTTCCAGGGGAGCTTCCATCTCTGATCGCCCCCGCAGTGACCACCCCGGCCCCCACAGTGGTGCCCAGCAGCTGCCCCCAGGGGCAGTTTGTGTGTGCGACCCCCGGGGAGTGCGTCCCCCTCAGCCAGGTGTGCGACTTCAGGCGCGACTGCTCCGATGGGCTGGACGAAAGCAGCTGCGGTAAGAAGCTAACCCTAACCGTAACCCTAACCCATTGCAGAGGCTGAACTAGGGTTGTCAACAGTATCGATACTCAAAAAAGTATAGATACTAAAATGTTGTATCCAGATATGATACTCATTTTCAAAAGTATCGATACCACCCCACCCCTCTTATTTATTTACGTTGTTTTTGATCATTAACGTGACGTTAGCCTTGAATTGCTAGCTGCGGCTAATGGAAGCCAAGGATGGATATCCGACTCCCCCACATCCAAGTCGGCCATTTTGATTAGGTCACCAATAGGAAGATCCCAGGCAAGAAAATCCTAATTGCTTCATGGCAATATAGACATTAATTTAAAAATAGTGAAATGAATCTTGCAAACACTGATTTAAACTCTATACATAATATTATGTTAAAATAGTGGATGTTAAATAGGTTTGTACAATAAGTCCAAACAAGTTTAACCAAAAAATATTTATTTCTCACAATTATGAAGGGTGGAGGGTCAGGGTTAGGTTTAGGGTTAGGGTTAGGGTCATTAATGTGGGCCACCATAACATCAGTAATAGGTCAGTTTGAAACGAAAGACACTGACCTGTCAAAATTCAGTTAAATTTTGGGGTCTTTGATTTTATCCTTGTGGTATCGAAAATGGTATCCTCTTTTGTTCGACCAAGTCTGAAGACGATCATCCCATAATTCACCACAACATCTCAAAGCATTTTCATTTAAACGTTATGTTCCCTTTTTTTCCCTGCCTTTTCCAATGCTTTTTCCCGTCCATCTTCCCTCAGTGAAGGAGCGCTGCGATTTCGAAGGTGGCGACACTTGTGGTTGGACGGTCGTCCAGCCCCTTTCAGCCTCCGGCCAGGCCTTTCGCTGGGCGGCCGACCAGGGGGAGAGCATCCACAACGGGGAGCAGGACTTCCGTCCCGCCAACGATCACACCCTGCAAGTGTTTCTATTACGTGTTCTGATCACTACAAACCACATTAAGGTTTGATTGCTTTGCTAAATTCAGAGTAGAGCTCGTCCAAATAGCTCTATCTTGTTAGAGCCTAATTACATTGTGTCAGACACTGTAAACAAGTTGGGAGTTTTCTTAAAAATGTCAGCCTTCAGTCATAGAAATATAAACATTAATACGTTTTTGCATGGTGGTGTGGTGGTTAGCACCATCGCCTCACAGCAAGAAGGTTCTGGGTTTGAGGGTCCGGGGGGACCAGGACCAGAGGGTTCTGGGTTGGAGTCCCGGGGGAACCAGGACCTTTCTGGGTGGAGTCTGCATGTTCTCCTGTGTCTGTGGGTTCTCTCCGGGTTCTCCGGCTTCCTCCCACCGTCCAAAAACCTGCATGTTAGGTTGGCTGGACTCCAAACTGCCCTTAGTGTGAGTGTGTGTAGTTGTTGGTCCTTGCGTGTCTCTGTGTGTCCCTGTGATGGACTGGGGACCGTCCAGGGTGACCACTGGGATAGGCTCCAGTTCTCCCAGTGACCCCATTAGGGAATAAACGGTAACGATAATGGATGGATGGATGGATGTTTCCACTATGGACTAATGCATGCGTTTATTCTCTAAATCCTGGTTGAGTTAAATCGGATAGTCCCATCTAGAAACCAGCTCACAAGAGGAGCCTGAATGATGACATTCTTCTGTTTTTGTGCTGTTTCCTGTTTCCATAGCAACAGCCCTGAGGGGTGGTACCTGTTCGCCGACAGTTCAAACGGCCACTACGGTCAGCCCAGCGACCTGCAGACGCCCCTCATCTCCTCCACCGGCCCGCTGTGCACCCTGGTCTTCTGGTACCACATGAACGGGTTCACCGTGGGAACCCTTCAGGTGGGGGATTAAAAACTCGTCCCCTCCCAGCTAACTTCGGTCGGACGCTCCCATTGGCTGTGTCTCTCCAACGCCTGCAGGTGCTGCTGAGGCGGGGAAACGCCACCCACCTGGTGTGGTCGCAGACTGGTAACCAAGGCAACAAATGGAGACAAGGAAAGGTGTTTTTGGGGTTATCGCTCAACATCCAGGTCTGTTTGTCTTTTTTCCGTTCACTGTTTTTATGATATTAGACAGGAAATGGTGCTAATCTTGAACATAAACCCTCATTTATATAATTTATAAAAACCTCAGGAATGACAGTCATCAAAAGTTGAGTTTTTTATGTTAAAGAAAATGTCATTATCTTGTGTGAAATGTATTAGTGCATATATTTAATCAAAAGGTTCATTGTAGGCAGATCCTCTTTTCACAGCCATGTTCCCATCACACCTGATGAATCATTTCTGTTACCGGTTCTTTAGAAATAGCTCCAAAATGCCATTTAAGTTATGTAAAATCATTATTATTCATCCTGTCTGCTAACAGTGGACTGATCTACCACCGGATTGTTCAAACCCAAACGGATTCAAGTACATTATATTGATTATATATGAATAAATTATTCTTATTTGATCATTATTCAATACATTATTATTATTATTATTAGTAGTAGTAGTAGTAGTAGTAGAAGTAGCATTATTATTATTACAACTATTTGACGGAGGGTGAAGAGAAAAATCTGATTTGAAACTGACTCCTGAATTTGATGATTATTGTTCAGGGGTGGACTGCGATGAATGATAACTAAGTGGGTGGAACTGCATAAAAAAAACCCAAAATGTATTTAATGCTCAGCTGTTAAATGATCTGGACTCTACGTCTTCCCCTCACCAGCTCACACACATAGAGAAAACCCTCCGTCTACGGTAATGTCTCGGTTTCATAACCTTTGTCCCACAGCTCAACCGGAGCCGTGTCGGCCGGTGACCTTTTCACGCCAAACCTCAAACATTCCCCGCGTGAGACACAGATAAATGGCCTTCTTCTGGTTCTTAGAGCTTAATTGGCCGACCCGTTAGCGAGTCTTGTTTATAATTGCTCGGCAACAGCTGGAGTGTCACGTCTGGGGGAATGTCTGGTGTCTCGTCATGTCTTGATTACACCTGTGATTGATTACACACTTGTGTACACCTGGGGTTCCCCTCCCTCATGTGTTTAAATAGTCCTCGTTTCCCATGTCCTGTGCCAGTGCGTTTTCGTCTGTCTGTTTTCGTCACCCCATGTCAGGTTTGATTTTGTCACAGCCTAGTTTACTTTACTGCCATTGTCTTGTTTTGTACCATAGCCACCTTTTTGTCATAGCCATGTTTTACCACAGTTTTGTTAATCTTGCCATAGCCTTGTTTACTCTTTCTTTGATACTTTGATCTGTCAGGTCTGGTGTCTCGTCATGTCTTGATTACCTATTGTGTACACCTGAGCTTCCCCTCCCTCGTGTGTTTAAATAGTCCTCGTTTCCCCTTGTCTTGTGCGAGTGCGTTTTCGTCCTGTGGTCTTTCGTCTTTTCGTCGTCTGTCTTTCGTCACCCCCACGTCACGCCAGGTTTGCTTTTGCCATAGTCTTTTACTTTGTTCCATAGTCACAGCCTTGTCACAGTTTTGTTAATCTTTATTTTGTTACTTTGCCACAGTCTTGTTTACTTATTGCTTTGATACTTTGCTCACAGTTTTCCACAGCCTTGTTTTGTACCATGTCTGGACTTCCACCTTTTTGTTATAATAAACCTTGTTTTCCGTCATCTCCGCACCTGAGTCCTCCTTTCAAGAACCCATCTCCCTGACATTATCATAGTTTTGCCACAGCCTCGTTTTGAACCCTGTCCTGTCACCCACTCTTTTGAGTGCGTTTTTGTTAAAAAAACCTTTTTTTGCATCTCCGCGCCTGAGTCCTTCCATCAAGATCCATCTTCCTGACATGGAGTCTGCCGGGTGGGCGGGGGTCTGATCCCAGGTGTGCTTCCCCTTCGTCAGGTGGTGTTCCGGGCTAAACGGGGCATCAGCTACATGGGCGATGTGGTGATGGATGATGTCAGCTTCCTGGATTGCGCCCCTCCCCCTCCTCCCCCCCCTCCCCCATCAGGGAGGGTGTGCACACCTGAGCAGTTCGCCTGCACCAACGGCCACTGCGTCCCCCAGGAGCACCTGTGTGACTTCACCAATCACTGCGGGGACGGGTCGGACGAGGACCCCTACATCTGCAGTGAGACCCCCCCCCTAACCTCCGACCCCCCGTAGAGAGGGGTCGAAATCACTAAACCAAGTGGTTCTTAAAGGGGACATATTATGCAAAACCAAGTTTTTAATAATTTGATTGTGTACATTTGGGACTGTGGAGGGCCTATCAGCAGGCAAAGTGTGAAAAAAAATGACTCGGTCATGTTTTTGTGGGCCGCCTCAGTCTGAATCCAGGAGATAAATCAGGAGGTTTCAGGAGTGGGTAGTTTCTGACGTCATTAGCTCTAGCTCATTATAATATTCCAGCCTTTCACCTGCATGTTGCCCCCCCCTCAGCTTACTCCCCTATCTGTGGCAGACGTCGTGGTGGCGTTAGCATGGTAGCATTAGCATGGTAGCGTTAGCATGCCGATGGGGGCACACCTCCCGGAAGAAGTGGGTGGATTGCCTGTGTCTCATTTACATTTAAAGAGACAGGCCATGGTTGTGCTCCAGGTTTCTGCCGCAGGTTTTTCCTTCCCTGTGTCGCCTAGTGCTTGTTCTTGGTTGGAATTGTCGGGCTTCTGTAAATAACTCCAGAGTCCGGACTGGCTGCTCTGTTTGGAAAGCTGGGAGATAAATAACTGTTGTTGGGATGTGTCGCTATAGAAATAAAATTGAATTTAATTGAGTTGTTTTCCCTGGTTTTTCCACCAGAGGGATTCGGCGCGCGCTGTGATTTCGAGTTCGACCTCTGCTCCTGGCGGCAGTCCCCGGAGGACGACTTCAACTGGCTGATCAAAGCCGGCAGCACTCCCACGTTCGGGACGGGGCCGTCCACCGACCACACGCTGAGGGACCCCTCGGGACACTACCTGTACCTGGAGAGCTCCTTTCCCCAGAAGGCCGGCGACGCCGCCCGGGTGGTCGGACCCTTACTGAGCAGCAGGAGCTCGCAGTGCACGGTGAGAGCCACGGTCACAGCCCCGGTCCACCAGAGTCAGAAAAAAAATCATCTAAAGGATCTGATTGTGCTATGGAAAAAGTTCTTTAAATGAGTGAGGAAAGTTTCTTAATAATGAGAGAAGATCGATCTTGTCCAATAAAAGGTGTTTTATTCGAAGGCAACAACGTCTGAAGACGCAGGTCACAGAGTAGATAGATAGATAGATAGATAGATAGATAGATAGATAGATAGATAGATAGATAGATAGATAGATAGATAGATAGATTTTTGGGGTGTTTTTTCTTTAGTAAACTCATGTAGGGTTATTTTAATTTAAGAAAATACTTATTTTTGCAGAGATGAGCTCCCAGTTGTCTCAGTTTACCATGAAATAAGTCATTTTTTATTGCTTCCTGATTGAGAAAACCTCAGAAATGAACGAGTGTGTGTTTTATTTTATGTGTAGTCATTACGTTACTGTTTGAATCCAGTCCATTTGAATTCTTTATGGTTAAAATAGCTCAAATATTTTTCAATGTCTCTGCATTGGAAGAAGCTAATAGGACCAAGAAATTATGCCTTAGGCAAAAAAATTCCCACCGGATCGGGACCCACAGTTAAAAATGTGATGGAAACAAACGGGCGGAGACGGTGTGTGTGTGTGTGTGTGAGTGTGTGTGTGTGTGTCCTTGTTGGCGCATCAGAGTGAGAACCATAACTAGTTTTTAACCAACAAAGTGAGGCCTTTTTTTGAAAGTGAGGACATTTTCCTGGTCCTCACTTTATTGTGTGTGCGTGTGTGTGTGTGTGTGTGTGTGTGTGTGTGTGTGTGTGTGTGTGTG